ATTAGAAACTGATGTTAATGTGTTGATACTTAAGCTACTATGTTTTAAAATGTTCTTTCTGCTAGTGTTCCATCATTCTTCTGGGTTTTTCATATGTATAGCTCTCCTTTTCTCATTCATTTGCCCTTAATGACTTTATCTTTTTGACTTGCATTGGCTAATGCCACTTATATGAATTGGATGGTGGTAGAGACAATGAGCATGTTTATCTTGCTCCTGACTCTGCTATAATAGCCTCCAATGTGTTCACTTTACGTAGTATGCTTGTCTGGGGTCTGAGGTATATACATTTTTAAAAATTATTCTATCGATGAATCCATCAGTCACTTTTTTTTTTTTAATTTGCTAGAAGACTTGTACACTTGTGGGAGAAAAAGGAAGAAATAGAGTGAAAGTGAGTCTTTCCTGATTATCCCCAGGAAGGTGGCCATGCCACAATCCCTTCTCCTACATTCTCTTCTCAGCATTTTGAGGTCACACAGACATGCACAGTGTGTCTTTCAAGCTGTTGGTTTGGGACTTGAACCTCACAGTTAGCCATGTGGGCAAAATCCAGTCACCTTAACCACCAGGGCACGGGCTGGCCCTCGGTTATTAAATTTTGAGTGTAACTTTAATATGATTGAACATTGGGTTTTGTTAAATGTCTTTTCTTTATTTTTTCTTTTGTTCTCTTATTTTTTTCTTTAAGAGAGGTTTTTGCTATAGGGCACATCCATTCACCAGAGAGACAGAGAGAGACAGAGAGAAACAGACAGGTACCTACTCTGCTTCATTGCTGTTAGTTCTTCCCTAGTGGGTGAAGAAGGACCCAGTGTCTTTGGAATCTTCTGGCAAATGAAGACTACCCAGGTGTCAGATGCTGGCCTTACCCTAACAGCATGACCATAGAATGGTCACATAACTTCTGTGTCTCTTTTTATTCCTCTCCAAAGAGGGGATGATAATAGTATTTATGTCATAGCATTGTTGCAGAGATTAATTGTGTATCTGCTTATGGCTAGAAGAGTGCCTGGCATGTATTAAGTACCATATGTGTGCTGGCTGTTACTATTAACATCCCTCCACTCTCTGTGGTTACCACACTGTGCCTGTGTGGTGGGAAGCTTTACTCTCCCTTAGGAAGCCTCACCTTTATTTCATACATGATCCAAGGAATATGGGAAGCAGCATTAAATGAAAGCTGGTGTGTATTCTACCCTCTACCCATACCTTGTGGTTATCCTTTTGGCTCCGCTGGCCTGCCCCATTCCTTCTTGACTTGAGTCCTTTCCCCAAATGTCCCGTTATCGGGAGCCTTCTTCTTCTGGTCTTTGTATGGTTGGGCCCTTTTGACATACAGATCTCAGCCCAAATGACCTCCCCGGAGAGGCTTCCCTGGGCACCTTGTGTGGCCAGGCACTCTGACCTATCAACACATATGCATTTTCTGCTGTGGATGTTATTTACTTATATGCTTACTTGCCACATATCTCTTTCAACTGGAATGTGGGTGCCACGATCATCAGGGGCCTTGCTATGTCACTCTCCGTGGCACCCCATGATCAGTTCCTGGCACATGAAAGGCACTGACAAATATCTGTTGAATGAGTGACTATCAACACAGTTGAAATAATGCAGTAAGGTGTAAGATGTTTATACCAGTGAGGAAGCTTTGTTTTCCTCTCCTGGCATTTTTTCTGTCTTATTTTCTAATTTCCACCCTTGATCTTTTCCACTCCATTTCATTTTCCAAATGATTGTCATCCCTTTCTACTATTCTCCATTCTAATGAGCTTGCCTGTCATGAACACGCTGAGAGCTCCCACTTGCTCTGGTCCCCAATTCCCTCCATGACCAATCTCACATGTATGAATGGACCATCTCAAATCAGGGTGGATCCTGGTCTCTCCCTTCTGTATGGTTCAATTTTCCAAGCATGCCTGAGCTGCGGGGGATGAGGACAGGCAGTGGTGTGTGCTGGCTTGTACTGGTGTGTGGTCCTGAGATGCCCATCAGGAACAGGGCGGGCAGGACGAGGCTCTCCTTGCCTCCTAGCCCACCCTCACGCTCAGCTTCTCGGCTTCCCATGAGGACTTCTCGCAACACTTTGTCTTCCTGCTCTCCTGACTATTTCCTGCATTCTATTCTGTCTTTGTCCCTCAGAGGTCACTGTTACCCCCTTCCATCCCTCACTCTTCACTTCCAGCTGTTCTATCCAGGTCCTGGAGTAAGTGGTCTCTTTCTGGGCTGTGTTGTGAGACATCTTGTGTGCTTTTTACGTGAGCTCTCACTGAGTTGTTGGGAATGGAACTTCCATTTACATGGTTTTAAAAAATAATAGGAGGGAAGGAGGTTACCATTTACTGGTACTTCCTGTACACCCAGCACTGTGCTGAGCCTCATTTCTGTATTTTATCAGTCACTTCTTATGACTTCCTTATGAACAAGGCCTCTCCATTTTCCCACGGAGGAAGCTGAGGTCCAGAGAAGTTACACAACGTTCTGAGCCTGGTTGCTGCAAAGGTGTGTTCAGGGGAGCAGAGCAGCCAGGCTGGGAGAAGCAGAAATCGGTGGAAGTGGAAAAGGATACGTTTTAAAAATGAACAGCCACTTCCGGCTAGAAATCATGAGTGGCACTGAGAGCCCCTTTATTTAGCGGCTGCTTGGAGGAAGTGATTCATGCCTTTTAGAGCTCAGTTGGCTCCAGCTTTGTCTGCTATTGTCTGTGAGCTCTGCTTAGTCTCTCTGAACCTCAGTTTCTTTACGGATCCATGGGGATACCAGTGCCTGCCTCACCAGCATGTATACGTGAGCACCGAATCCTGTACTAGCTACATTTTAGACACTAATCTACTATTAGATTCTTTATCATCCTTGCAGTGTCTTCTTCCCTCTATGCCAGTGCTATAGTGAAGGTTGTGATTCCTGGAATAGAGTCTGCTGCTTTCTGTAACTGCAAAATCTGAGTGGAGAAGCTGTAATCTTTGTTTTAATCTGTACACACTTGTACCTGCCATATTGCAGATCTGGCAAATTTACAATTAGTCTCCGTGTCATTGATATTTACTTACGTGGCTGAGCAAAGTACCCTAGATTTTGGTTAAGAGGAGGGATCAAGAAATATGTGTTAAATTCTAAAAGAGGAGGGATCAAGAAATATGTGTTAAATTCTAAAAATTTAGCATATCATCCAGGTCAATGCAAAAGTCAAGTGAAAGAGGGCCAGCCCCATTCTGCAGCAGTTCAGTGCTATGAAGAGGAAGCTAGATCCCACATGGCCAGCCTGGGTTCAAGTCCAGGCCCCAGTGACTTAAAAAATATGACAGGCAAAAAAAAAAAAAAAAGTTTAGGGACCAGCAGTTGGCGTAATGGCTATGTCACTGGACTCCCATGTAGTCTACTGCAGTTCGCGTCCTGGACCCAGTGGCTTAAACTCACGCCGGGTGCGTGTGCATGCGTGCCCAAGATCCCAAGAGGAGAATGAAGGAGAAGGGATTGTGGCGTGGCCATCCTCCCTGGGGGGGGGGCGATTTCTCGCTTTCTATCTCTCTGTCTCTCTCTGTCTGTCTGGAGAGCACATGCGCCCTGTAGCAAAAACCTCTTCAAAAAAAAAAAAAAAAAAAAAAAGCCAGGCATGTGCGTGTCCAGAATACTGATGGGATAGAGAATTGGAGAATTGGAGGAAAAGGAATGTGGCCTGACCAGGTCTCATGGGGGAGGTACTTTCTTTCTCTCTCTCTGTCTCCCTTTCTCTTTGACTCATGTACACATGCCTTCTAGCATAAAAGAAAAATCAAACAAGACAGTCAGCTCTCCTACAGATAGGCCTCCCTTTAGAGAATAGCTTTGTTAGAAAACTTAAGAATAAACGAAATTCATGTATCTTGAGTCCCACTTTCCCTGAATTATGTAATTATTTTAGATAAGTGATTTAGTAAATGAGATACCTTGTATTTTGGCTTTAGTTTCTCTATTCTCACCTACTCTATATCCATGTTCTGGAAATAGATGCTAAGTACATAGGAGAATCTTGCCATTTGAAGATATTCACAAAAGACCCTATTATAATGTTAGTAATCATTTGGTGTTTATCAGGCAGGTGCTAGACATACTGGCATATTCCAGGGTAGGGGGTACAGCTGGAAGCCCCAGTCTGCCTGGGCAATTTGATCCTACCCTAGGGCAAATTCCTGAGTCCACAGCCCCTTGACTGAAGAGACAGAATTAATTCAGGCTTTTCCCAGGCAGATTGCTCGCCCAGGAATCAGTCTGAAGGGGGGGGGGCAGGACAGTTCCCTTCCAGGTGTTAGAAGCAGCACTTACTCTGTTGGACTGCAGCATCGTCATTCTGGCACCCAATCTCTTCACTCAGTGATAAACCAAGATAGTGCCATTCACAGGCACCAAGCCACCTTGGTGGTGGTGTCCAGGGAAGGTTGTAACTGAAAGCGTCCACCTTTCACTGCTCAGGGCAGACCCAGAGAGGGGGCAGGGTTGCTCTGGCAGGTGGGAAGCTCCAGAAACTACTACTTGGTGGGACTTGGAAGATCAAATGTGACACTTCCCTACCCCTAGCTCTTCCATTTAACTAGAGTGATTTAGTGCTTTTAAAATATATTTTTTTCTTTTCTTTTCTTTTCCTTTTTTTGAGTAAATGAATATCTGAGACACAAATATTACAAAAGAGCACATCTATTGGAAAAGCAGGAAGTACCTGGGAGATCCACCCTCATGGCTTCTGTTTCTAGACAGAGCTCTTAAGCTTGCAGAGACACTTTTGCTAGCAGAGTAAAATGATATTTCCACAGCAGAAGCACCTGAAGGTTTGCTTAAATCTAATTTCTGGGCTCTATCACTAGAATTTGCGAATCAATGTGTCTGAGGTATTGCTGCCGCCATGACCATGACTGATCCATTTATTCGTCATGTTATGAATATAAATTATGTATGTTTTGTTATGTCTGCCATGACTGTAAGTAGATTTTATTGATATGTTTGTTTCTGTCTCCTTTGAACAGGTATTTTGATGTTGGACTGCATAAGTTCTTAATAAGGTAAGCCTGATTATTTTTATTTTCGATATCATTAAATAGCACATCTATGATGGAAGGCTGAAATGGAAGTAAATCTTTACCAAATATCTCGATAAATACTGGCACTCATGTAATTGTCAGGAAAACATTGCCAACACTATGGTTTTTCCTGTCACCCAGAATCACACGTGATTTAATAGTGAGGGACGTCTATGTTTAAAGAGGTTTATGTCTGAGGTGATGGTTATGCAAGATCTTAGACAAGTTTTATTCCTGGAAAAACATAGAAAAATGAAAAGTTTTACATTCAGAAATTAAACAACCCACTTAGCCAATTCTGTGTCCATTGAAATGAATCTTTTTAAACTGAATCTACTGGCTGTTTTACAGTCATGAAGAGACGACCTTGTTCATAAATGAAAGCAGCTACAGATGGCAGTTTCTATGCCAGTTTATTGGTGGTTTTTATGAGTTAGCTTATAGGCATATTAATTTCAGATAACTACTAAATCAAACCGAGATGAAGTGGAAACATACCAGAGATGAATGGTGTTTTTAATAGTGTGCATGCTATTTCTGCTGTCAACTTTATTGTATTTTCTAAATTTTCTATATTGAGCATGTGTTACTCTAATAATGATGAAAACATTTGTTAAAAATGCCTGTCAGGGCAAGTAGGTAGTGTGGTGGTTAAAGGCACTGGATTCCAACATGACCAGCCGTGGTTTGAGTCCTGGACCCAGAGGCTTGCTTTCTCACTTTTCCTTTCTCTCTGTATCTCTCTGGTCAAATTGAAAAATAATAACAAATGAAATTAAATAAATAAATTAATAATTTTTTAAAAAATTTAAAAAGCCTGTCAAAAACGTTAAGGAGGGGCCAGCAGGTGGCATGTTGGTTAATGACACTGGACTCCCACATGACTGACCATGGTTTGAGTCTTGGACCTGGCAGCTTGCTTTCTCACTTCCTCTCTCTCTTTCTCTCAAATTAAAACAAATATTAATAATAAAGTTAGATAAAAAAAATTCTTCAAGAAAACAAAACATAACACGGAGGAAACAATAATGATTGCTAAAGGACTAAAATATAACGATCACAAGGAGACCAGAAATGTAAAGTGATTTGCATTCCTCACACACGTGACTCTAAATGCGAATTGATTCTAATAGTCTGTAAATAAATAATGTGTAGATTAATTGTGATCATAGGGCAGGTGTTGTGATAGCTCAGTTCTCCACAAGATTTGGCCATCTGCCCGGTCTGAGGTCCTCTCTGAGGAGAAAGGTACAACATTTGATCTTAAACCAATAGCATTTCCTCTGTGCTGGACTTCAGGGCTGGCGTTCCAGGAGAAGTGACGCAGACCTTGTCATCTTCTCCAGCCTCATCCAAGGCTGCATGTTAAGATCTACTTGACCTACCTCAGCTACAAGGAATGTGGATTGCCATGGCTTCCTCCAGGATTTCAGACACAGATAATAGCATTGGGAAATCACTACCTTTGATACAGCAAAGGCAAATGCATTTTAGGAGGGACGTAGGGCCAGCCATCACAAGGAAGGTGGACATGAGAGTGTCATATTGAAACTGACTAGGAAAGGCAAAAACAACCCCCCCCCCAAAAAAAAACAAACAACAAAAAAGACAAAAGAAAACAAAAGAAACTGAGCAGTGAAAATTATCTGGGTATATTTCAGGAATGGTTTGGATTTTTAAATTGGTGTCTTCGGCTTTGTGCTTCACCCACGATGATGTCCACATAATGTCTTGTGGGTGATGCAAGGTTGCACTTTTCTTAGCTTTTTCAGTAACTTTCTTGAGGGCAGGGATCATGGCTTAATCATCGATCATTGATTACATTTAGAAACTTATATAGAATCGACCTTCAGCAGACATTTGTGGTAGGAGTGAAAAAAATGAAATGGTACAGGAAGGACAAGGAAAATGAAGATTGAGAAGCTATTTAATAATTTATTCAACAGATAATTATGAAACGTACTATGTGCCACTTAACTTGAATTTATTTAGCTGGGCTATCATTTTCAAAAAGAGATACTCAATTCAAAACTTTCCCTGAAGTTAACACTTGCCAGGTGGTGGTTTGAGTGACTTGAAGTGCGGAAGAGAGGTGGCCTGGCTCTGAGACCTCTTCCCAGCTCTTTCTTTTGGACTGCAGGCAATTCTCTTGCATTGGCTCTATTGGAGGAAGAAAGAGAGTCAGTGGCTCTCATGTAACTGGTGCTGGGATCCCCTTGCCCTGGCAGGTTAGTCAGTGTTCTGTGAAGCAAACAGAGCAGTGAAAGCAAGGCTTTTCTTCCCACCTACTCCCTGAAGTTTTCCCTTCCCTTGCTCTTGGAGGGCTGAGAAAATCAAGAATACTGTCTACCCCACTAGGGGAAGGAGAGGTCAGTCTCCTCTGCTTGCAGGCATTCCCAGTCTCTGGAGTAGGTCTCTTTATCATCGTTCACATGCCTATACTCCACCCTAAGTGAACAATGTAAAGAGTTCTTTATTCTTGGGACCAGCAGTTAGCATAATGGCTATGTCACTGGACTCCCATGTAGTCAACTGCGATTGGAGTCCTGGACCTGGTGGCTTAAACTCAACGTTGGGTGTGTGTGCATGTATGCCCAAGATCCCAAGAGGAGAATGAAGACGGGGATTGCGGTGTGGCCATCCCCCCTGGGGGGTGATTTCTCACTTTCTGTCTCTCTGTCTCTCTTTGTCTTCCTGGTGAGTGCACGCACCCTATAGCAAAAACCTTGAGTTCCTTACTCTTGTCCCGGTTTGGGAGGGGTGAGGAAGGAAAGGCTACAGGGGGTTATCAGAACAGTTTTTCACCTCTTAGTAATCTCAGGGTGAGGGAACCCTCTTTACTTGTAACTCTCTTTGCAAGCTAAGTTGCATATGTGATTGAATGTATAAAAGAAATTGAAAGAAGAAATAAAAAAGAAGAAAAAGAAAAAAATGGAACCTTTCTACTTTCATTTCAGGAGAGGAGGAAAGGAAGGTGACAGGGTAGCTGGTAGAGAGCATGGGTACAGTGGGACTTTTTCTTTCTTTTTCTTTCTTCCTTCCTTTCTTCCTTCCTTCCTTCCTTCCTTCCTTCCTTCCTTCCTTCCTTCCTTCCTTCCTTCCTTCCTTCCTTCCTTCCTTCCTTCTTTCTTTCTTCATTTAACTTGACCAAAGAGAGACAGAGAGAAAGAGAGACTGCAACCCACCAGGTCCAGGACTTGAACTGCAGTCGGCCATGTGGGAATCCAGTGCCTTTAACCACCATGACACCTGCCACCCTCCCCCCCATTTTTAGAGATTTGCTATAGGGTGTGTACACTCACCAGAGAGACACAGAGAGACAGAGAGACTGAAAACAAGAAATTACTCCCAGGGAATGGCCGTGCCACAATCTCTTCTCCTCCATTCTCCTCTCAGGATCTTGGGCATACACTTACATGCATCCAGTGTGAGGTTTAAGAAGCCGTGTCCAGGACTCGAACCGAGGTTCACTATATGGTAATCCAGCAACATGATCATTATGCCACCTGCTGGTCCTGGGAATTTTTTTCATTTTAATAGAAGAAATCTTGTGTTTAGCTACAAGAAGATCTGAAGTGGCTCTTAGACTTAGGGAAAGCAGTTTTCTTTGAGTGGAGAGACGGCAGGTGTGACGGCCAGCAGCAGCAAGAGATCCTTTCATAGCCCCAGAGAGCAGAGGCAGTTTCTTGTAAATGTACCATTAGAGAAAACCTTAAGGGGTTGGAAGAGAGATGGATAGGGTTGGGGTTATACTTAAGGAATTCTCACTCTGTGATGGCTGAAAGAAGAATATGCATTTCCCTTTGTGTAAGAAGAAACACGCAAAAACTTAGCACAATGCTTTTTTTTTTTTTTCCATTTTTAGATTAACTACCTTTATTGGCGCCAACAAACTCTTAATATTTGTAAGGCTTTATTGAATGCTTGATGTTTGGCATAAACTAACTGCAGCATGCCGGAAACTAATCAGCTGCATCTTTCACTCTGATGGAAGTCATGCTGATTTCTCTGGAATGACGTAAATTTCCACAAAGCCCAGAGCTCTATCTGTGATCTCAGGGAGGCAGTTTCATACTCCAGTTTAAGTTGCTGGGGCGTTTCACTGAGCTGTGGGGCAGGAAGGAGCTGTCATGTCTAATGAAATGTGAGCCTTTTTGCTATTGGTGTTTTATGATGACTGTGGGAAAATCCAGTGAATTCAATCGTTCTGTATCTTGTAGAAAGTAAAGGAGAGACTTTTGCTTCTAGGAAGCATTCATCGCAACTCGCCTACTGATAGCCTCAGAAGACTATGGCTGGAACCCTTACTGTGACATTATAAAAGGAATAGGACAAAAGGACTGGCCTAGGGAGAGAGATTATAGAATAAAACAGATCTGTTTCTTCATAGACACTAGGGTGGTTTGTTGAAATTTAGCTTAGGCAAGAAAGTGAAAACAAGGGATCAGCAGTTGGTGTAATGGCTATGTCGCTGAACTCCCACGTAGCTGATGGCAGATCGAGTCCTGGACCCAGTGGCTTAAACTCACACTGGGCACTTGTGCATGCGTGCCCAAGATCTTGAGAGGAGAATGGAGGAGAAGGGATTGCAGCGTGGCCATCCCCCCTGGGGGTGTGATTTCTCACTTTCTATCTCTCTGTCTCTCTCTGTCTTTCTGGCGAGTGCACGTGCCCTATAATAAAAACCTCTCCAAAAAAAGAAGAAGAAGAAAAGAAGAAGAAGAAGAAGAAGAAGAAGAAGAAGAAGAAGAAGAAGAAGAAGAAGAAGAAGAAGAAGAAGAAGAAGAAGAAAGAAAGAAAGTAAAAACAAAACAAAAAAATTGCAATTTTTTGCTTTTTGCAGACAGGCGTTTTTCATCTTACCCAATGTTATAGCAATTTCTATCCCTTTTAAGATGGAAGGAATATACCTGACCTCACTTACATGTGGAATCTAGAAAAATTGAACCCCAGAGGTCAACAGGTGGTGTAGTGATTAGGGC